AGAGAAGACAGACTCTCACCTACACACACAACCATTCATTGGATGGCTATCTCCCAGCACCCCGGAATCTCTCCCATCAGATTATTGTCTCCTCTTCTTGGGAATTAGATCTTTCTTCTCTCTGAAAGCTTTTTCTATAGATATTGCACAGGTGGCTCTTTCTTATCATCCAGGTCCGTGATGAAAATGTCACCTCTACAGTGAGGCCTTCCCTGACAACATGATTTAAAGTGGCTGCTTGGACTCTCAATTTGTTTTACTTCAACTGAACACTTATTATTACGGAATATTTCCCTTCACATATTTTTATTGCTAATGGACCCCATACCCTATACCACCCATTTATAACATAAGCTCAATGGCAACAAGGATCTTATCTGTATTGTTTACTCATATACATACGAGTAATAAGTTAACATAATAAGTGCTCAATAAATGCTTATTGAATGACTACATGCATGAATGTTTGTTTTGGTAGGCCAAGAAAGGTGGCAGAAAGAGAGCTGTTTCTTGGGAACCTCTTATTTCAACATTGACAATAGCTAACATTTAGTAAGAATATGCATAAATATGTAAGTGATTATTTTGTCTAATCCTCAAAGCACTACCATAATATCAGCACTGAAAAGGAAAAATGAGGTGGCATCCTGACCAAATCTACCCTAGATCCAAATAAAAGAGATGGGATCCAACTGATCCCAGAGGAGTTATGCTTCACTCCCATATATGCCCTTGGACTCTGTTTACTTGCCAGACATGTGCACAAGATTTGTTCTGAGCTTCCTAGTGCTCCACACACACTGCAAATAAATCTATTTCCTGATCCAGTGGAATCATAAGTTAAACATAAACAAATGTCCAGGAGAAGCCCTTCTATTTGGAGTGTTGAGACTGGGGGGAGGTATGTCCCATGGTCTCCTTAATGGAGAAACATTATAAAGGATGAGGAAAACCACACCATGAATAGCATTGCTACAATAAATGCAAGCATGGGTCTCTAGCATCTGTAACACAAATCACTATAAGTTGATTGCATCAATTCAAGCCGTGGTTCAGTGGAAACACTTCTACAGAGTAAATACAAGATTGTAGTAGTCTTGTTTAATCCATTGATAAAATTTAAACTATACAGATGAATGAAAAGGATTCCTATCATTCAGGCAATCCTCCCTCAATATTACTTCTTGCAATTACTTTGCTAATTACTACTGGCTGGCAAAAATTGTGATGTGTATACTGCATGATGAGTAACAGACCACAAATATTTGTTGTTTCTAATTAAGGACATATCCATAAGTTTAAAAACATACATAATTTTGGCATCTTCTCAGAAGCTGATATGCCTAACCAGAATTCTTTCCTGAAGAGGCTACCATTGTAGCTATGCAGAGAAGAACAAAAGGGCATACCTATAGCCAACATCTAGATTTGCCTCAGAACAGATGCTGATTTTATCCAATACATGAAGAGAAGTCTGAAAGCCCAATATCTTATCCTAGTCATAATCCTAAATCAATAAAAAGTAAGTCAAGCACTCATAAAATATTTAACTTTAATCTATGCTGCAAAAATGCACTGCTAGGTAACTAAATAATTCTTGGGCTCTAATTCAAGGTCAGTGAAATGGTAAAGCATATAGATTGTCATGGTTGATGTTAAGTCATTCTTACCATCATTAGTCATTACATGAGCCTCAATGACAACATCATATCGTGAGCAGTAGTTTTATCATCCTGTTTTCACAGACTAGTAAACTAAGCCCCAGAGACCTCATATAAATTGCCAGAGTGATAGATGCTGTGAATGGGAACCCAGGAATGCTGCACTGGGCCTGAGATTGTGACCGCTAAAACATTCTGCCTCATTATCGACAACTGACACCAGATAGATGAAATTGACAGATTTTTGGAGCTAGAAAGAATCTTGGAGTCATTTGCTTCCCTTTTTTATCTTACAGAAGAACTAAAACAGAGTAAATAGTTGACTTCAAGTCCATATCCTAGTTGGTAATAAAATTAAAATAGAATAATTCCAGCACTTTTTCTAAATAAAATTTCTTTATATTAAAATCATCCTAAATTAAGAAAACAGAGTATAAAACAGTATCACTTAGTAAAATACAGTGACATAATGATGTATATAAGGACATTTCTCCACACAAAAGACCATCAAAGAATGACAGAATAATGAAGGAGATGCAAACTGTCATCTCTTCAAACACCGGTTGATACATGAATCCTTGGTGAGAAGCAGTTTTCCAGGTGACCACACCAGGTGCCATCTCTGGAGGCAGGACTCTCAACCTTTTATGCAGAAGCCCATTCTGTTTTGGGAAAGATTCTACTTTTTATAGTTTTTTTGTCTGGTTTTTGTTTACTTAAACTAAATCTATATAGTATTATTTTAAAAATATTTCCATATTGGGTCACATTACACCCAAATGTCCCAGGACTTCCTCAGAGTCACAGCTATAGAGTTCAACCTCTCTTTCATCTGACACTAATTCAAATATTTACAGAGAATTATCATCATCTCTAACACCTGCAAGTCTTATCTTCTCAATAAGTCATACGTAATTCTTTCAAACCCTCAAATTCCTACATTATCAAGTTTCTCTGAGAAGTTATCCTCAAGTTTATCAATGCCCTTCTTGAACCTATGGGCTCAGCTCACAGTTTTGGGAGAGTTCTCCTATTCAGAGTGCTGACCTGTATTACAGCCCCTTCTCTGTGCAATGTGCCTATGCTAATGTCATCCACATCCTAACTGCACATCCATCATCACACTGGTGACACTTACCTTGAAACCTTGAACTTAGGATTCTTTGTACAACATAAAAATGTCTCTGCTAGATTTACAATTTATCTCACTCTTAGCTAATATTGATTTTTTAAAAACAATATTCTGATGGCTTTAGGATGGAGAAAATAATTGTCAAAATCACACCAAAGGTTCTGAGGAAATAAAGATTAGCAATAAAAATAAATAGGTAAATAACTCAGTACTTGTATGTGTTGGGGGAGGGGGCAATGTTAGCATCTCCCTTTGTCATTTTAGATGAAGACTTGATTTTGTGACAAAGGAGAAGGAGCCACTGTTGGGAGGAGAGGAGGCTGGAAATAGAAGTGGAAATGAGCTCCATTGTTAGAACAAGAACCTAGGGAATGCGGGAGCCCTCCTTTGATTCTGCACATGTTATATGCTTAAACTTTTGTTAAAACGGTAGATTCCATATGGCTTTGATGTTTTAAAAAAATCCCATCAAAATCAAATGAAATATTAATTTTCAAAATAACCTCTAGTCATTTAATAAATTAATAGTGTGTGTTTCATTTTATGCTGCTAAAAATAAAAACACCTCCTGCCTACTATCAAGGTACATCTGAAGACAGCCAGTGTTCTGTGGATTCACAATCAAGGATAGAGTGTAGAACTTCACATAAATTCGAGCAGGAAAAAGAGGTTAATTTACTAGGATTACTTACACGGGTTAAAGGAACTATGAAAGAGTAGACTCAGAAATATTCAAAGAGGCAATTATATCTCACAGTATCTTCAAATCATGTCAAATTTATCACATTTTAAGTGCCTTTAAATGTCCTTTTTGATTGGAAGAGCCTGTGAATATAGACAATTTTGTGCTGAGCAAATGAGCAGTTTCTTCCAATTCTCTTCACACAACTGTCCTGTCTTTCCTATTATCTCATCCACGCCAACCTGATGGAGATCCTTGTAAAATGTGAGCCATATGCCTCATCATGCAGCTCATGATTTAAACTTGATCAATGATGCCTTTACTTTTTAGAAAATATGACCAATTCCATATATTTTGTGACCTGTTTAATTTCTCTATTACTCCTTGCAATACACTTCTTTCTTCATTTAAATCTATATTCTGTACATAGGGAGTGCCAGTTTTCTCTGGACCCCAAAAGATTATCCTAGACTGATGTGTGTGTATGTGTGTGTATATCCACCATTTGTCCCTGGGTAGACCATGTACATACAAGTCATTGCTTCCTTGCTGTTATGGTTTGTCTGACAAACCTCTGAAGCAGTGCTGGAAGCACACACATTCCCTTTCCAGGAAACCCATTTTTCAGAAGAAAATGTTCCTTGCTTCATTTCTTGGTGTTCATGAGGACCCAGGTAACGCAGCCCTATATGTCTTTCTTGAGTTGCATTAAGTGAGGCCTTTCTCAACAGTTACTAGCCAAGACTTGCCTTCCTGGGCACGCTTGGATCCTCAGTTCCTTTCTCTGTACTTTCAGGTGGTGAAAAGAAAGCAGTGATTGCAAATGTCTCAATTTACTCTCTAACAACTGAAAACAAAAAATAAAACGTAAAAACCTTATTGTGATGCTTGGTAAATGACCACCAGCAGAGAAATAGAAGGCAGAAAAACTAGTAAGACTTTCCTAAGAAAAGAAAGTCAACCATATCACACATGCATAAGCCATCGAAAGGGCACGAGGTAGTTTTTACTCTCTTAGTCGTAATTTTTTTAAATACAGAGTAAGCAAATGTTATGCCTTCCAGGAATACTTTTTTAAAAAGCCCAGAAGTAACTCAGCTTCCCTTTCAAATTAATAGTATTATACTTCCAACATCACCACCCATGTCATAAGTATTGAGAAAGAAAATGTCTTTAGCCATTACACTTTGTGTGTAACATTTGTACAAGCTAACATCGTGTTTAAAAGAACAAAAATTACTTTAAGCAAACAAACACAGTGTGAAGACTGTCAAAACACATCGCATGTAACATGTATGATAGTTTTACAGAGAAACATGTCTAAGTCCAGCAGTGGATTGTCAATATGCTGGTAACTTTCACCAGCCACTTTGGGGGTAACAAACCAGAGAAACTACTTAATTAAATATATGATTAAATAAAAGAAAATTAATGTCCTGCTTGGTAGAAAGAAGATAAATCTGAAGACACAAAATGGTATTTCATCTTATCCTGAAAATATAATTAAAATAACTTCAGTATTTACCTCATATGATTAAAAATCCACTGGACACTTTAGAAGCTCAAGTGGCTCATGATGCAGCTTTCCAGTGGCACTCTTCAATTCCTATAAATAAAAGGAAGGTGAAAGAGAACATTTAGAGCAATCTATGTTTCTGTAAAATGATGCTGATTAGCTATGAAATGTTTATTATCGCTCCACATTGCCATTTAAAAAGTACCTCCTTATATATTGCTGTTAAATGCACAATATAGCATAGTTTTTGCTAAATGCTCAATATAGCAATGAAAGTTATGTCTGTCTGGGACTTCCAAGGCACTAAAAGAGACTCTGGATAATGAAACACTACCAAAAATAAAACCACTCAATTGCATGTCATTTTACTGGGAAAGGCTGTTGTACTATAAAAACGAAAGCATTTGTAATTGAAATGGTTTCTTCTTATAGTACACATATTACCAACACAAACATTTTTCTAGTCATAACACCAGGTTATAAATAGTAGGGGGTTTTGGCTCCTTGTTTAGATTTTACTATTGACTTCTTTACTAAATTGTAGCAAGTATTTTCAGTTTCTGTCCCATCATATTCCTGGAGAAGATTCATAAATGTGGGAAATGATAGTCATCCATTTGATAAATTGATATGCAACTTAGATAATATACACCATATATAGTAAAAAAAAATTAAATAACAAACTTTCACAACATGTTTCAATTATCTATGGAAGAAAATTTTTGAGTCATTATTTTTTCCCATATACTTGCTAAAAGAGAAATAAAGTGATAGGCAAGATATATAGGGACTTCACCACTGCCCATTGTTACTTCTCTGTTTCCCGTAGGTAGAATGGGAACTCTTGCATTCCTCTCTTACATCTCCCTCACTCCAAGCCTCAAGCACATACTGTTAAATTCAGGTAGAAATCTCAATGAGCCAGCACCACGGACATCTCTCCCCCACCCCCACCCCTTTCTGAAAATCTCTAATCCCTTAGGTGGCAAAAAAGGTCAGAGTAGAAACAGAATTGGTAGGGAAATGGTGCTCCTAACCAAGAAGTATAACTTTGTGAAGGTACATGTAGCGGGTTAGAACACAAGTAAATGGGCATCTTCTAATTCTATTGCAAGAGGAATCACATGGAGTTATACTTTAAGGACTGAATTCATACAAATTACATTACAACTTAATGTTTCTAAAAGCCACACATGTATATATATATTTATATGTAGGTGTATATACTAGTTCCCTCACTATGTGCTTGTCTCTTTTGTCTATTCTTGAGTATTAGAACTCATTTTGAAGAAAAGATGCTTTCCAGCCAAATAAATTCTGCATAGCAAATAACATGTCTCATTAGAGTCTAGAAAGACATCGGATGCTACATTTACATGAGGAAGAAACAAACTTTGAAAGGAAGCATTAAGCACTTTTGGCAAGAAAGGGAGTATTCTAAAGTTCAGAATAGTGGGACATTAGGGAGAAAGATACTGAAATACCAGGAATGGCTGCCTAGCATTTTATAAATTTCTGGACTATCCTGCTTTTGGGCAAACATATCAACTAATCCAGTGCCTCATCATCTTCTAACTCTGTGTTCACAATTGCTTGCCTTGCTCTCATTTTGTTACTGATAATCTACATAAACAATCCTAGACTTTCTTTGAAGGCTTACTGGGACAAGTAGTGACAGGTACTTTCATGTGCCTACCTCATCCAATCAACAAGATATATATTGTCACACTTTGCAGAGAGCTGCCATTGTCTCACATATTGTATATCTCAGCATAAAAATCCTACATTGGATATCTCAGCATAAAAATCCTACATTGGAAGTTGCATGTTCCATAAAAGAAAGTGCTGTTTCCAACTAATTATAAGTTTTAAGTTCTATATCTTTGATTTGTTTAAAATGCTTTTTGAATGTCTAACATGTTTACTGAATAATTAAAAATGTACATGGCATGTGAAAATTACCAAACAAAATCCATTATCTAATTACTCGAAACTTGCATTTCAGCATTCCAGAGGGGTGGGGAGATGATCCTGGAACCTCGCAAGTCCTTTCGTTTATGATCACATTTAAATTAGATTTATGACATCTTTAAGGAAGTTATTTATCTCCAACTCTCACACTGGAATTTCAGAAAATTAAGACCAAATTAATTAAGACCAAATATCGTTTGAAGGAGATGAAAAATAAGCTATGATGGTAAAGTAAACAGTATGAATGCAAAAGAACCCACTAGATATATAGGATTAGAGAGAGACTATTTTGCTAAATGAGAAAAAAAGTTGGGAACAGCTAAGGTAGTGGCGAAAGAAGGTGAGAGAAATGTGTTGATAAAAACCCATTAAAGTACATGTGTCTGTGGGGTGTTTCTTTTGGTGGGAGTTTTCTAAGTAGAATTGTCTAAGTAGAAATTCTTGGGGCCAGCCCAGTGGCACAGCAGTTAAGTTTGCACATGCCGCTTCTTGGCGGCCCGGGGTTCGCTGGTTTGGATCCCGGGTGTGGAAATGGCACCACTTGGCAAAAAAGCCATGCTGTGGTAGGCCTCCCACGTTTAAAGTAGAGGAAGACAGGCATGGATGTTAGCTCAGGGCCAGTTTTCCTCAGCAAAAAGAGGAGGATTGGCAGTAGTTAGCTCAGGGCTAATCTTCCTCAAAACAAAATAAAAAGAAAAAGAAATTCCTTCAGAGTTTCCTGGGTTGTTAATAGAACATTGGAGGAAAGAAATGCAAAGCTGTAATTCCTAAAAAGTAGATCAATGGTTACAATAATGGGTCATCACATTCTGTACCAAATGGTAACAAGAAAGAAGAAGCGCCAGGCCCAGATGTGGTCCTAGATCATGGGGCTCACTCATCTTCACTTGGGGAGATCCTTCACACCAAAACGATTTGGAAAGTAGCAGAAAGATATTAGTAACAGAACAAAAATTGTTTAGAGGAAGAAGAGGGAAAGTATGAAAAATCAGTTTCATAAGAATTGGTGGATGTGACTCAACTGAGCTGGGGATGAGACTCAGAACAATGAATTGGAGGAACCGGGCCCTCCACATTGAGGACGTTCAATACAATCGCACCTAAAGCAGGCAATGTACCCAAGAAAGTCCTCAGAGTCAACCTGGAATAGGTTCATAAAACACACACACAATTTTTTACCCTAGGTCTACAAAAATTAAGTATTTTTTTCCAAGATCATATGATTAATTACTGAAAGGAATAAAACAATATTCTAGAACTTCTGGCTTCCAAGTCAGTATCCTTTTCACTGCATGATATTGCCTCTCTTCTTTCTGTTGTCTTTCTATATTGACATGATTATACATTACAGTTGATTCCAAATATGTGTGCAATGCTAATCAGAGAGGGACTCTAAGTGCAGCATCGGGTTAACGTGAGGATTAAAGTACAATGCACTTACCACCATCCCTAGCACTCAGTGAGTGACTAAATGGCAGGTGTATTGTCTACAAATTACCAAGAGGAGGATATAGTGGTGAGGAGAGAAAAAAATGTTAAAGAGGGTCAACGAACATGCTGGAACAAGAATTTTAGAGGGACTAATATTTTTAAGATACAATAGGGGCTGATTTAATCCCTATTCAAAGAAGTGACTTTAACTTCAAGGTTAGAGGTATGCAAGTGTAGTTTATAAGGGAGTAATTGTTTTATTTACTTCCTTGGACGAGTATATTAATCTCCAAGAATAAGCAATATTTTAAGTTGATTCAAACAAAGATAAGCTGATCTTTTAGGTTTATGGTGGTGGTAGAGAGTATTTGAAAACAAAGGAAAAAAATAGTTTTCTTAGACTTTCAATGCTATTTTAGAGAGAAAATACATACCTACATTGTGAATATTTCTAGGTATAAACACCCTTTAGTTATGAATTTACATCTCTATCATTACAAGTATTTAGGAGGAAAAGTTTGAAAATCTCTACTCTAAATTAAATGGTTGACATTTTTATCATTCTTCTCTCTTTCTCCACAACATTTTCTAGTAATTCCCATACCTTATTTCAAATTGGGGGAAATGGGAGAAGACTTTTTCAGAGGAAATATATGCGGCATCTTCTCCTCAAAGGAAAGTAATCCCCTCACTTACTGAAATTTTTTATTCACTATTATTAATGCTTAGTATACAATAGTCTGTGGACTCTGTGCAACCTAATTTTCTATCACTGTATTTAAGAATCTATATTTAAATATATATTCTGAAATGATCTATTTGTTACTGTTGTAACTTTCACACAAGACCATGTCTAGGGCATTAACACAGAGAAAATGATGTGGCAGAGTTTATCATGGTGAAAAATTCTGAGCAATGAGTTTCTTGGATGATCCCTTAAGGCAAATAACAGAGCACCACCTAAGGAACGTGCAAGTGGTCTACAGTCTCTGACTTGGAATTCCATCAACACATTGGAGGGCTGAGATTTTGGCTTAGAGAACTGATCTACCCTACACTGTGGAGAGGGAGTCTGTCATACACTGAGAACACCAAATGTTTTGAATTGTTATATGGCATCTGAATCCTCTTCATGTTATATATTTTTTCTTTTTAGCCATAGAACAGAAGAAAGAAGTGAGATAACCTGTCTACTATGTGCCTAGATATGATGCTTTAAAAACATTATTTAGTTTATTCATCACAAAGTAAGTCATGTGAGGGGCCTGGCCCAGTGGCATAGTGGTAAAGCTCAGCATGCTCCACTTTAGCAGTCCAGGTTTGTGGGTTCAAATCCCGGGTGTGGACCTACACCACTGATCAAGCCATGCTGTGGAGGTGTCCCACACACAAAATAGAGGAAGATGGGCACAGATGTTAGTTCGGGGCCACTCTTTCTCAAGCAAAAAGAGTAAGATTGGCAACAGATGTTAGCTCAGGGCCAATCTTCTTCACCAAAAAAAAAATCATGTGAGATAGGAATGACTGTCCCTTTGCAAATACGGAACTGAGGCTTAGAAAGTGACACAAACATTTTTTTAAGATCATAGTCCTTTTCCTTTCCATTATATAACACTGCCTCCAAAATATCAACTATGGATGCCTTTGGTCATGAGACTCATTGGAACAAATACTAAATTGAAAGCAAT